CGTTTTRTGATACGCTGAAGCTAACGAAATAATGATAGGTRGACAAATTCGGTTAAATCGTTAAATGCATATTACCTAAGGTATAGCTGGTACAAAAAACTTATAAAAGTTTAAAACCGTTTTAATCGTATACTGACACTTATAAAATATAAATAGTGAAATGTGTTTATAGTAAGGCATGCCTATTGTCTACAAAGTTGTTGAGACAATAAGACAACCAGACGATAAGATAATAATAGGTATACGATGAGTTGCTATTTTGACTGTTCATCAAATACCTWCCTACTGAGTTATTAACCAAGTAATRGTTGTCCGGTTATCTGTTTATTTCACCTTTTCCCTTTAGGAAAAGTACGCAATATATATGTTTTAAAGTACAGTTAAAATTTTAAATATAAACTCATAATGAAAATTCTTTGTTCACCGCTATTGTTATCCAGTTTTATCAAGTAAAAATTTTGTRAAAATGTCATAATTAATAACGATTTATACAAGTACAACGTAGGTACCTATACAATTTGACTATACAGAGGGTTAAAGGAGTACTTAAATTAAATTTACTGGAGTATTTAGTTATTATCTCGTCGCTGGTCAGTATAAATTTTAACAAWCGATTGTGATGCATTTCCGAAAAGGCATGTTTTGTACACTTGCAGCAGTCTCTCGCTAAGTACACTCATACGCATTTCGGACCGCAAAAATCACACACCCAATTGAGTTTGTTGTTACTATCGCATCGTGATATCCGGCGGCCGGAAGTTTTTTTTATACGCTATATTTTCACGTTTAGCGTTATCGTATACGCACCACAGTTTACTGTTTCACGACTTAAAATAATAATATTATAAACGTATACGCGTCATTATTATACCTATAATGTTATGTGTAGTGCGGCTGTCAGTGTTGCATCGCTGTGCAAACAAAACCGACCGAAGCATAATATTATAATATACGATACGCGTTATTATAAAAACACCGATGGTTTTAATAAAACATAATTATATACACAAACACGCGGGCAATGGGCAGTGTGACGTGTGTAGGAAAACAACTCTTYGGTGAAGGATTCACCTCTACAACCCTTCCGGCGGGTGAGTTCGGACCCCGCGGCGGTCAGCTCCCGACCGGTGTTGGTGGCGGCGGCTCGCGGTTCCTCCCCGACGGTCATCGCGTACTGCACGCAAACCCTCYGCCCACACTCCGAGAAAACATCTGACGTACACGAATATACACATTGTAATATAATAGTAATAATAATAATAATAATATTATAATATTCRGCGGCTAATTATATTCACCGCGTGTGCTCTCACACATATTTACGTATAATATATTATGCAATATCGCACGAGCAGACACGCACACTTGCACTCCGGCGTCGTCTGCTGTCCGAAAAACATCAATTACACGAGTCGCTTCAGCACACACGCAAACTGTACACTGTACACAGCACACACTGTTTTATTAATACTGCGGCCACGACTGCCACCGCTAACGATTTGTAATATATTATATAACGTGGTATGTACATATTGTAATGTTATGCGCGTAAAATACGACCCCGCCGATTGACCTCCACTGTATAATAATAATAATAATATTGTAATCATCCCCTCGAATSTGCATAGGTCCTCCGGCTGGAAGATAGTTCCTTTGGATACTGATTTCCGATACGTCGGGGTCGACATGCGACATCACGACAATGCGAGCTCTACTGGATACGCGTTGTCGAAATCCAAACCATTCACCATTTTATTATTAATATTTTTATCATATTATGTATGAATGACGCTTTTCYGATTATTATATTAAAATATATGACGCGTGGCAGCTGCTCCATTCGGAGGCGTYGTGGCGYTATGCAGATCGCATTAATTAGTATCGTTTTAGCTGTCATAAATTCATAATATTATAGGTATTACGCTTTATATTAATATGCCGGTCAAAGAAAAACGTCGCCTCCGTCGTCCGTCGACTCCCGTCCTAGCAGAATATATTATACATATACAAACACGTTGTATTTGAGCGTAATCAGATATTGTAATATACTATAGTTTCCAAAATGGTTCAAGAAATTCAAGTGGCATCCTCATCGCTGCAGATAAATAAAATATAAGAAATGCCTATGCGTAAAGTTTTACTAAAAATGGAATAACAATCTTTCCAATCAATAGACGCAGTTTGATAGCGACTGAACATTTCAAAGCWGCATTCGATTTGTAGCTATTTAAAAAAAAWAATAATAAACTTATGCAACACTTACCACTTTAATGCAAYTATAACTACAATCATTTATAGGTAACTGCCACAAAAGTAATTATTTATTTATGCTACCCAATTAGTAATTATAAAGCCTAAACAATATGTATTTTACTCAGAAATACCCGAAAAATATTGTCCGCTCAGGTTTTATAATATACGAGTAGGTAGTTTGATTCTTATTTTTTATACATGCATCATTGAATTTATCAAATCGAATAAACTTATCATTATTCAATGTAAATCACGTTGTACGTCATAAATAGACACTTAAAAAATATTGTTATGTTACAGCGGATCATTAATCATTTTTTTTCTCTTCCWTCGAGACTACGAGACCATAATATAATTAAATGATTGTGTAATACAGTAACTACTTACTGTTAAGCGCAAGTGCTCGGAAATCGATTGTTTTATCAAGAAAAAAAACATCACTACACAAATAAAATATTATAATAATACTTATGTATATATTGTATATGTATAAACTATAAAGTAATGATATTATGGAGACTGGAAGTTCTATTTCAGCGATGACGACGAGCACGGTGCTTCTATATAGTGATGTGTCATCGTCAGCGCCGCGCTGGTGGCAACATTTTGAGGTCATGCACTTCTAACGATCATATTATTATTATTATAACAAAACGATAATTTATTAATTAGCCGAATAAAGAACGCGCATCATGTGTGTGATGCACATCGACATAGGTATCGACTGTATATATTATATTTAATTTTTCCATAATATAACAATAATGTTATACTACCGGTCCACTTGCGCGACGCTTTATACTCTGCTGAACACGATTGCATTTTCCACGGTAAATTGCTTCACGGGCAATTATGCTGTCAGGTGACGCGGACGGACGTGCGATGGTGGTATTATTAAACGGAGTCGACCAAAAGCGAAAGGGTTAAGTTTCGACTTTATATAATTTTTTTCCGGATCGCCGCGGCGCGTGTCTGCATTTATCATAACTCGAAATTATTATTATTATTATCATACACCGGGTGTCCGACACGCGCGTGTATGTTATACGCAGATATATACCTACATGTAAGGTAATACATAGCAATAATAATTCGTCTATGGTATATATGATGTACGCGTGTTGCAGCCTTTTTTCAAGCGTATGTCACGCGGGGACCTATCATTATGCAAATACCTCTCGATTAATTGTTAAGRCCATATGGGACGTTTTATAAAAAAAAATTAAATATGTTTTCGTATTGAACAGCGTGTGGTATAGTAGCGTACGTATATAATATATACACCTACTGCACGTGCAAACGATCAAAGTATACGCGATATCGYGCTGCAATCAGTTTCATTGCAATTGGTCATCGAAAAAGGACCGTCGACCGGAAAATATTAATTTAAAAACATTAACCATCGTTATCGGAGGTGTGTCGACCGCGAGTCGCTACACCATAACGCGCGACGAAGTGAAAAAATTAACAAACAGTTAAACATTACAATATTTATTATTATTGTTTACGATCGAGTGATAATTTATCAAATTGTCATAGGTGCCCGAAATGCATAATATATAGTTCAACCTGCACCCACGATTATCATTACTTATGTAGATTAGGTACTTGGTCTAGAGTCCYTATCATATAGACGTCATAATCTTAACTATCGTTTAATGTCGGGATGATTAAATTATGAAATAATTGTTAGAGAGACTTAGCATYTCTTCTCTTAGCAATATTAGATTTCAGAGCACTTTTTAAATACCAGCAAGTCGACCTAATTTGACCTAATCTAAAATGACGCATGTATCCRATGCGTATAATCAATGATATAGCTTCGTACCTATCTGAATACGAATATCTCTGCATTGTTCTTATTGGTATCGTATTCCAATATGTTTATTTTATCGAACTATAAGTTGTATGAAATAATTATCGTTTTAAAATCCAAATGACGCTACCTAATTTATAAATAAAATACATAACAATATTACAATTTTATAGGAACATCGATAAAAAAAATAATAAAAACATAATTTTTGTTTTGTTTTATTGTTGTAATTAGCATACCGTGTGTCGTAATAACAATTATATTATGCTGCGATGGCCGATTAAAAGAGCGGGCTAAGAATGATTTTAATATTATTAACTATTATACGGTCCATCGGATGGTCCAAGGCTCGTGCAATGCATCGGCGGACACGAGCGTACCCTTGAAGATCTCGGTGTAGTTATACTGTTCGCTTTCCCCAAAGAAAGAAAAAGGCCGTATAAACGATGTATTATTATTAGTTATCGTTATGTGTGTGCAGATATATTACACGCGYGTAACCTCATACGCGCGACCCTGGAAAACGCGGTGCAGTCGGTGGCGGCGGTTGTTAAGTAGAAAAATCTAAACGTTCGTCCTTGTCACGACTTATGGATGATTTCTCGTCGAGAATTTTCCGACGGATTTCGCAACCGATTCGTCTCGAACCAACGACCGGCGTYGCGCGCCGCCGGGGGACGTCCGGGATACTTATAAGTAGAAAATCTGACACGCATCGTCAGTACACGATCAACACCGTTCGGGATAGTTAATATCGGAATAATCGTTCGGAAACGTTTATCAGCCGTAGTACACMACAATCGTAGTTTTTATTATAATCATTGTCGTCGTCGTAGTCGACCGTTTACACTCGCGCACACAGTTTGACAAACAGTAGATTGATCGGTACGTTTCATCGATCATTACGATGTTGGTTCTGAGGTGTGCCGCCATGATCGTCGCCGTATGGCCRCTTCTCGCCGTCACTTCCGTGTCGGTGGTGGCCCGGCAAAAGCGGCAGCTGCAGAACTCATACTTGGGCCTGGGCTCCAACGTGGAAATACTTCCAGTCGGTGACACATCTGGAGTGAGCAGCTCGTACAGTGTAGTAGAAACGTCCAAGGTACCCCGCAGAGAGCATAACTCTTACAGATCGAAGAACGCGCACCGAGATTCAGAACCAGAACACTCCGAGTACCGGGCGTACAACAAACACCCGTCAACTAGGAGTGGAACTTATGCCGGGGAAGTACCGGGACCAAAACCGTTCAGGTTCCCCGAAGAACGGCGGCAAACGAAGCCACCTGCTGCTGATTCCGAGGACCGGGACGAAGATTTGGACTCTATACTAGTGCCAGACCATCGGAGAACAGATTTGACGCCTGCCAACAGAAAGAAGTACAAGCCCAAGAAGCCGCGGACCGAAGAAGTGGACGAAGAGTCATTGGAGGAATCGAAATCGGCACCCAGGAACGCCAAAGAGCCAAAACCAGCGCCCAGAAACATCAAGGAGATCGTCGAAGAGCGACCGGCTGAAAGCAAGATATCCAGTGACCTGAAGGATGAGGGTAGCCGGTACATAGGCCAYGGAGCTGGTGGTTATGGAGGTGGAAGCGAGTACGACAAAGAGAAGCACTACGACAAGGAACAGGGCCAGAAGTTCTTGGAGGGCCATAAGTCAGAGGAAGGCGAGAAAGCGGAAAAAGCATACAAGAAAGAGGAAGCGTACGACAAGGGCCAAAAAGAAGATTACGGCAGTGACGAGAAGCACTCGCAGGTGGCCGAGAAGGCGGGCGAGAAGAAGGGCCACGTTGACCAGGCACAGCATTTTGGTGAGGCGTACCATGGCAACCACGGCGAAAAGGGAATTTCGGTGGTGAAAAAAGGCGGCCACAAAAAAGGCAAGAAAACGTCCGGGTTCCACAAAGTGCACCACAAAGACGAATACAAGAAGGATGAGGTGTTCTACGACGAATCGCACGACGGTGGAGAGCATGAAGAACACAAACATGAACAGGAGAAGCACGCCAAGGAGAAGGGTGGAAGCGAGAAGAAAGGTCACTCTGATACCGGCTATCACGAAAGCCACGGTTCGAAGAAAGCGGAGAGCGATCATGGTAAGAAGTACGAACAGGCCAAGGGCCACAAGTCAGAGGCTGGCGAGCATGCTCACCACGGCCAACAGTCTGAATTCGCCAAGAAGGGTGGTGTCAAGGAGGGCGAGAAGTACGGTCACGCAGACGCGGGTGGCGGCGGTTACTTCGAAAAGGACGGATACTTTTGACCAGTGACACTTGATTCTGACGGCGGTGGTGTTTGAGTACCGTCAAGACTTCTTTTTACAAATTCGATGACGTGTTGCGATGTGGTAGATGGACAGTTATAGGTGTTATAATATAAGTTATCGTCCATTGCAAGTTTACACCAACAAAGTATGTCTATATTTGAAATGTATTTAATTAAGTTTTTTTTTTATTAATATTGTTTAATGGTACTTGTTTTATCCGCAATTGTTGTGTTTACTATTTTTGTAAGGTTTTTCATGATACTTTTCATTTTTAAGTGTTATGAGTTATGACWTGTGTCATAATAAAAATATTGTTTATTTTTATTAAGTTGAATGATAAAGAAAACGTTTGGTTATAATTATAGAAATGTTATTATTTTTATTACATTTTTAACGTATATTAATGTATTTAGAATGAAAATTCTACCTGTGTATAATCTGGAGTTGTCCAGTTTATCAAAACAAATAAACTAATGGTATTTTTTCGTGATATACAAAATAAAAATTATTAAACAATAATAAGTTGATAAATGTCGTTTTTTACGTTAAAATATTAATAATAATCGTTATAAAAAAACTARGTACTGATTTTTCACGAATCTTATGGCTACCACACAATAATATTATATTATAGTGATTTATCCTCGCGACAACAACTATATACACATTATATTGAATTACCATAATATGGCTTTGTAACAATTATGTTACATGACACCTTTGTATAAATTATATAAATGCTCCATTACATACATTATACCATTAACTGCTGACCGATAMAATAACATAATGTTTACACATAATTAACTGTAAGACAATACGCGCAATGTGAGTTCATTRTACACATTGTAGATACACTATATACCATGGAACTAAGAAACAGCTGTCTATTATAATAATTGTACGAATTTACCTACCTATATTGCAATAGTGTAATTTGAATTATTTTAATAATGGTGCAGAAATGTAAGCAGTATGAMATTTTTTCAATAATCATAGTAAATGCTTGCATGAATGTATATTTGAGATTAAAAAGTTATAMATTTAATATTTTAATATATTTAAAACAACTAAAAACCTATATTTAAAGCTGGAAATAGATTTGTTATGCATCCGATAATATAGAATATTTTATAAATAATAAATRTGCAATAATACCTCCATGCATATATTATTATATTAAATATGTTTTGGTTTGCATAATATTATATTCTAACTTTTACGCATCAGCATTGTCACGTATGTGAATTGTATAAAAGGCAAATAAATAAATAAGACACATAAAAAAAAAAGAGGTGCAAAAAGTATATTTTGCAGCCCTGCAAATGGTGCAATTACTACTTTGGAAGTATACCTATTGTTTGTAAGTTTTCAGTAATAAATACTAAAAATAACTGAAATTGAATCCTGGATATTCAAATCTATTAAATTTATTTGAGGATCCTATTATATCTACAGAGTCTAAGATGACCTAGCCATGGACATATCGTATAATCGTCACCCCTCCGACCACGTTATACCATAATACTAGCCAGCCGATGTCGTCCGTCGCGATTACCATAACGTCGTGTTCGGTTTGGATGAGTACGCGTGATTTGAAAATATTTTAGAAACGACAGAACTCGGGATGTGCCTACACCTTATCATATAGAACGATCACACCTCGTATAGATCACTTCTTCGTCGCAGTAGGTAATAGTATCATTGGAAATCACGTAACTATATAATATCATGCCTGTGCGATGTGAACCATGTAATCCGATAATGTGTAATGTATAGGTATAGGTGTATCAGAAAATAGAAAAATAGAAAATCGTCCGTAAAATCAATAACAACAACAATTTAATAATACCATACAACGTTGCTATCGAGTAAAAAATTGATAAAATTATGATGCTAAAACTCTACACACGTCGTGCGTGGTTTGTTGCCTTAGGTGTGTTGTATATATTATATATTAAATAGAGTTGTAAAAATTATCGTCGTATGACCTACAATAAAGAGTGGTGGATATAATATCCCAAATTCGTGTGTATGTGAGATCGATTTATTGTATTTTAAAATTATACCTATTTTACTTTAGGGAAAAAGTCAGGATAGCGATGTACCATTAAAAAGGATGTAGTTTAAAAGCAAAACATATATCTAATTAAATTTTTATTGCGTAGGTATTCACAAGATTTTGTAATTTTGTAATTTTGCATTCTCACTGAACTTTAATATACTATGCAATGCGCAATACGTTCTTCTTATAGAAAAGTGTAACACTCCTTGAAACCGCATATTGATTTCTTTCAATTATTTTTCATGGATAGGATTGTTTTATTAGTTTACCTCCTATCAAATATTAGTTATATGTCGGTGCTAAATAAGGTTAATATATGTTAGTCGAGGGTGGTATATTTACTTTTTATGTTTACAAACACTATCGTATATAAGTTTTATTGTTTATTCCACGAGAAGAATCAAATTGACATTCTACTATAAAGATTGGTTTGGTTCTTATTCCCAATATGCGATTCATATTATCCAGCTCAGTGGTAGTTTATGCATATTATTTAATATGTAGGTATAACGTTATATCTACATAGACGCCAAATTGTTGTATATTGATTAGAAAAAATGTGTGTCATAGTTCCCCTTCTCTAAACTGTGAATTATCAACTTACAAATACAAAGGTATTAATTTTAATAAATATCAAAATCAACATATATATAGTAAATACCTTATATTATTTTTATAGTTAAAAACTCAAGTCTTAGAATTCACGGCAGCCAAGCATAGTATTAAGCGCGCGAGCGATGGTCTTGAGGGCTCGTATGGATATTGTTCTCGTATATTACATTTAGTAGGTASCTAATAATAATAATAACGTATAATATGTGTGCATACACAAAAATCAGAATATCGAATTACGTTATACCGTTATACGTACATATTTCAGSCCAGCCTTCCGATACACCTCGAGGGTATTATCGTCTCTGTCGTCGTAATCGTTGTCGTCGTTATTATTATTATTGTTTTCCACACACACAAGTGATAAGTGGTGCGTGGCCGGCCRACCATATTATATCCACTGGTTGCACGTGCACTGTTGTATACCCGGTTGTCTCACGACAAGCGCCCACGTGGGTTCTTGAGAGATCGTATATGTGTGTGTGTGTGTGTGTGTCATGGCAGACGTGACCCGTAAAAAAAAGAGTTCCGTGGCAGACACAAAGGAGACATGGGCACGTTATCGGCTCCGTCATCGGGCTGAGTGGTGTTATCGTAATCAAAAAACGTGTCTCGACGTCGTTTGGGTAGTAGCCCGAGTGTATGTTGTATTATATTATAATATTATGTGTGCCGGGTATAATGCGCACACGTACAACATTCACGTGTATTATATAAATATAAAATACACCAGCGATAATGGTCGAGGTATGATATCGTTATGCGAGCAACGRATTTCCGACGAGGTGCGTCCGTCTGCACGTCGTCATCGTCGTTGACTAGTCTGTCGTATTGATAAGATGATCTGAAGAAGTCGTCCGTATATTTAGCGTATTCTGTAGACTATCGAAAACTGAGTAGCCATTACATGTGATGGCCGGCGATAGTCATCACAGGATTTTTAGGTACCAAAAATATACATTAAGTAGGTAAACACGAATATTCATCATATATTCTGTTAAAAATTTGTAAAAATTCCAAAATATAATATGTTATCTTTTGCAAAAATAACAAATCATTTAAAAAAAGTGGGAAAGTGGATATCACTGTGCTGTACAGTAGTTTACAAGTGAGTTACTGTGATGGATGGAATAAAATTGAATCCAATAATATTATATCATTGTATACGAAAAACGATTCTGAGCAGAGACTGTCTGGGATAAATTATTATT